CATTGGTGTATCTATGACATCAAAGTAATCCTGGTTCCAACCGTCATCACCCCCATAAAGGGGAAAAAAAGACACAGAAAGTAGAAGATGAATCAATAAGGGAGAGAAGAATTATGAAAGGAACGCAGCAACGCATTTCAGAACAGATATGACATCTCTGACGTCAATGTTGCATTGTGGATCTGTCCGAGATTAGATCAGCTAAACAAAAAATCCTAAGAATTCAATATTTCCAACTTATTGATTCAGGAAGCATAATAGAACCTTAAAACCTTACAGTTAATATAAAGCTTCGTTTTTCCTTTTTGAATACATGATATGCTACAGAATGTCCAGAACGGGATATAATTTTGAGTTACAGCGATAAGGGGGAGGAGGCACACACTCAAGGGGTTTTGAACATGGGTCATGGGGTCGGGGTAGGGGGCAAAGCACCTCAGCCACTGAGGTAAACCCAAGGACCCCAGAACAGGATATGAACCCCAATGTGTATTAACTTGCAGATATTTGTGTACATGAAAAACAGAGACTTACAAATAGAATATCCGTATCTTCCAAGAATACAGTATTGCATCTGTGACAAGAATTAAGTTCTTTTCAGGCTTTTAATGGAGGGTCATTTTTGGTAGCCTTGACCCTGGCTTTGTAACCTTTGTCCTATGCAGTAGGTACTTGGTATTACTTATATTTTGTAACCTTTGTCCTATGAATGTATAAAAGACTACACAGGCACCTAATTCTAAAACCAAAATGTCACAACAGAAACCAATTACAAAATTTCCATCATACCGCCAGAGAAGCACTTAATTCTTTTTTGTTACAGCAAGGATCATGCGAAGGCGCCTCTTGCTCATTCTGGAATCTACTCCAAGAACCAAAGACTTGCAATGGCTTAGTTTGTGCACCGTCGATCTTCTTGGATGAGTTTTCCATCTGGATATTCACTTCACCATACTTCCTAAGCAATCTCTGCACGGTCCTATCCATGGAGCTCACATTTTGATCCCCGTACGACCAGTCACTCCCCATTGAAGAAGAAGTAGAATTACCTGAATCAATCTCCATTTCAGGGTCAAATTCCTCATCATTATGGTCTTCGTTATCAGATTGATTCCACCCAATATCATTTCCTTCTTCAACATTTTGACTCACAAAATTCAAGAATGCTACTTCTTTCTCATTGACCAATTTCTCATTACCACTCTCTCACTTACTACTCTCTCACTGACCACATTGGGTTTCTTTCGTGGCCTTCCCCTTCCCCTGCCCTGCAGGCTTGTTTGCGCCTCATGATCTACTAACAAACATCACAAATCAAAAAGCGAAAAGGAGAACAAATTAGTCAGAGCAAGCTGGCCGGATGACTCGAAAAGCTCTCTAAGTAAGTCAGACTTACAATATTTAATATAAGCAGCAATTACATGCTTACAAGCTTCAAAATTTGTTAAATCCGTTCAAATAGTAGAACGAAAATCAGTCAGGAAAAAAAAACAAAACAAAACTTTTGTTGTTACCAATGACTTTTTGGTGAGAACAAGTTAATAACTTTTTATCTTTTTAGTCATAATTGAGCAGCATATAAGCTTAACCGCTGCAGTCTCACTTCACACCCACACAGATATACATACAACCACTTAGATATATAACGATTCACCTTTATCTGAAGCAAAAAGATACAAGACGCGCGTGTAGAGTGTAGAGTGTTGAGTGAGAGTGAGGGAAAGTTACCTTCGCCTGAATCAAATGAATCGTAGAGATCAGGCCTTGGGATGGTTGAGCATCTGGGGCTTAGGGTTTTGCTTATTTTGTTTTTCACTGGGGTTGTGGTTTGCAGGGTGCACAAATGCTAGTTTGGGGTTTTCGTGACCACGGTAATGCAGCGACCATAAGGCCATCTCCAACCATGTTGGGGCTAAACTCAAATTTTCACTCTCCAAAATACAAACTATTCATGTATTTTCAGGACTCAAAATTTTTTTTCCTCCAACCTTGCAGACTCATAATTTGAGTCCGCAACTTAATTAAATTGTTTAAGAATGATTAACATCTAAATTTTTTTTCTCGTTAATTTTTCTTGATATTATTTTTGTTTCAACATTCATGATTTAATTTTCTAAACGTTTTAACCTAAAAAAATTAAAATTCCAAAACATAATAGAATTTCACTTAAATATTATTATTTTGACCGTTTGATTTAAATTTGAGTCGTTGGATGTGAAATTTTACCATTCAAATTGCCTAAAATTAATCCTAATCTTTGATTACAAATATAGCTATTGGAATTTTTTTTTTTTTTTAAACATAGCACAGCGTGTATTTGAAAATATGACCGTTGGTCAGCTTCAAAATGCCACGTGGGCCAGCTTGTTGCACAAGTTGCTGGCAGACAGCAAAATGTACATGGGGCCCATCAATTTTTGGTGTTCACATGGGCTTCCAGTCAAAAAAAAGAAAAAAAAAACCAAATTTTGGGCCCACAAAAAATATAGGTCCAGGCAATCCTTGGGGTAGAATTCCCCACAAGATTTGAGATTTCTCAAATTTCCACCCCCCAAAATACATGGGTTGGAAAAGTTTTTTGGACTCAAAACCCATAATTTGGGTTTCCACCCATTGGGTTGGAGATAGCCTAATGGCCAGCAAAGGCAATAACCAACCATGGTTACATTTTGTAACCAACCATGGTTACATTTTGTAACCAACCATGGTTACATTTTGTAACCAACCATGGTTACATTTTGTAACCAACCATGGTTACATTTTGTAACCAACCATGGTTACATTTTGTAACCAACCATGGTTACATTTTGTAACCAACCATGGTTACATTTTGTAACCAACCATGGTTACATTTTGTAACCAACCATGGTTACATTTTGTAACCAACCATGGTTACATTTTGTAACCAACCATGGTTACATTTTGTAACCAACCATGGTTACATTTTGTAACCAACCATGGTTACATTTTGTAACCAACCATGGTTACATTTTGTAACCAACCATGGTTACATTTTGTAACCAACCATGGTTACATTTTGTAACCAACCATGGTTACATTTTGTAACCAACCATGGTTACATTTTGTAACCAACCATGGTTACATTTTGTAACCAACCATGGTTACATTTTGTAACCAACCATGGTTACATTTTGTAACCAACCATGGTTACATTTTGTAACCAACCAACCACATTATTGTCATTAAAGATGGAAGTGCTTCTAGTTAGGGGGCTTTCCCAAAATTATAGGGCTTGAGGCAGGTCGGGTTGGGCTTTTACAAACTGAAGGAGGTTAACGGGGCTTGCACACCGCACATTTGGTAGCACAACAGTGGAAAAGTGGGTCAAACTCTCTCTCCCCTCCCCCAAGTGCACCTAGGTTCGATTCACTTTATATCATATGACATATTTACTTATCATAAATGAGTATTGGCATGGTTCAAATTCCTTACTTATCAAAAATGGATATTAGAAGGATCCAAATTCCATATTCTCCTTTGTTTGCAAATACATGAGTATTTGAATAATTTCAATTCTGACTTCCATTATGTGGGTTGTATATTAAAATCCGTAATCAAATACTCCAAAAACTAAAATTCATGACTTCTCTTATTCATGATAAGTAAACATGTCATTTCTCATATGAAGAAAATATGCAAGTACGAAGTTCAAAGGCTTGAATGAATGATTACTCATTATTGACAAAAAATCTTTTAATCATTACTTGACACAAGCATTGTATTAACATTTTATCTAACATGAATAATAGACAGACATAGTCGATTGATTTTTGGGAAATATGAGGGTTTGGCTCCGACTCCACTAAATATTCTTCAAATGATGCCCTTTTTAAAGCCTATAAAACTAGCCCTTATAAATATATCATATCACAAGCCTATCGCTCTGTTCTCACTTTTGTATTTGTTCTGAGCTGCTCTCTGGATCAAATCATCTTCTCTCTCTGGTCTTTTTCGCTTCTTCATCTTTCTTCTGCGAAACCTCAGAGAAATCCACTTCCACTATCGACCTTATCTCGCCTAAACCCATCTCTTCTTAGCTATTTCTTACAATTGCAGTTGGTTTCAACCTCAAGGCTAAACCTTATTTCTTTAATTTCTTCTTTTGCAGAAATTAAACAAACTCACCCCATGGTCTTCTTTCCCCATCAAATCCCCTTTTCTCCATTCTTCTTCTACACTTTTGCACACATCAAACTCACAATCAAATTGCAGAAACCAAAAAACAAAGTAAATCAAACCCACAAACAGAAAATACATCAAATCAAATTCAATAATAAATTAAAACAAAAACTCAAGAAGGAATTAAAACGAACCCAAGAGAAAGATGAAGACAAACCCAAGCGCAAAAATTAAATTAAACCTAGCCAACCAACAAAACCAGCCATTTTAATATTCCTTATTTCTCAGCTTTATGGTTATAGCATAAAATACTAAGAACAGAGAAAACAATTCTAGAATCCACATAAACCAACGTGAAAGCATAGGCACTGACACAAGAAGATGGATACGTGATAAGATAAGGTGCAATGCGGTAGTTTTTCTTAAATACAACTATATTGATGCGTATTAACTAAAATCCGTTAGATTAATCAAGTGGTTAATATTCTCTTAAATGCATATAAATACACCAATACTAAATGTAGAAGCTCGATAATATTTCTCTCCTGTCTATTGGGAGTAGATGACTTGGACATCACGTTTCATCAGTTTCTCTCTAGTATTCAGAATGTCAAAATTCTTACTTCTAGACCAAGTGGCCGCAGAGGTAAAGAGTCAAATACAAAGCATGAAATTAATCCTAAATGTCTAACTTCTTTTTTAAATTAAAGTTTTGGGTTCTTGTATCTGAACTATTTCATTTCATAAAGTTTTTTACTTTTTAATATAATGTTGTAGAATCTCATGTTCAAGGAAGGTTTCATTCCTCCACCATTACACAACGTATGGTGCTTGCATATGGAAATTTTGGAGCTGCATCGATGCCAAGATATGGTTCCGCCAATGGTCTCTGTCTTTAAGGTCTCCCTAATCTGAATACTTTGGACATAACAATATCTTTAGAAGAAAAGAATATCAGAAAGAGAGAGCACTTGGGTAATTCTGAATGTATTCTTCTTCTTGTATAAGGAAATATATATAGTGCATCATGCCTTGAAGGCCAAGTAACCTTAAAAGCCAAGTAAGACCATTACTGTGAATTCTATATAGGAAATCAAAAATAGAAAAATAAATAAATTACAATCAATACAAATCGCCAACTCACACCAACATCTTTTGTGTTTGCACCCTTCTTGGACCACCACAGCAAAGGTATTCACCCCACCATAACCACTAAGGGCCAAAATACCCCTCCTTTATTGAGTCATAAAAAACATAAAGAAACTCTAACAAGGAGAAGCAACAAACTCACACAACAAGCTCATAACAAGTTGCTGCAACTTATTTCGACTCAAATAGAGTTAAGCTAAAAAAAAAACTGAAAACTTTAAAAAACTCGAACTTTTGGTTCCCATCATTATTGTCTACAAATATTTAGATCACCGTCGTACTTTTTTCAAAGATATTACTTGAGAAAATTTTTGAACCAATACGCGGAGCGTTTTGGGTACCTTTTTAAATCATCATTGTAATCCACATAGGTGATACCAAATCGAACAGTGTATCCTTCATCCCATTCGAAGTTGTCTAGTAATGACCATGCGAAATATCCTTTCACCTTAGCACCTTTTCTGCAAAAAAAAAAAAAGAGGGAAGAATTCAATGTATTAATGTCAATGTAGTGTTTAAATAACTAAAATCTAAGATGAATATACCTTAGATTGCCTTAATTAATTTCTTAAACAAGCACTTACCTCATGGATGTGTGAAGGTAACAAAGGTGACGGTAGTAATAGTCAATTCTTCCGGTATCATTAAGGGCTTGCTCAAGTGGTAATTTGGGATCATTTAACTCATCAACGCCTACAATATATAATGCATTACCATACGCATTTAGTTTTAAATTTAGACGTTATAAAACTTAACATTATTTCATACCATTATATATGTAAACCATTAATGATACAATTAATGACAATTTAAAACTATTAATTACCATTCTCGGTAATGTAAATGATTGGATTATTATACTTTTCTTTTATATAGAGTAGAAGATCGTGAATTCCTTTTGGATAAACATATAACCAACTTGAACCAGCCTGCAACCCAATTAAAAGATAATTGAGATTTTAGGAGTAATTTGTATGTGGAAAACAATATGAATCCTCTCCAAAAGCTAATAGTATAAGCTAATAATTTGATATGCACCTGTGGACCAATAGGGACCCCATTTAGTTCAGCTGCCAAAACATATACATATATAAATATTAGAATTTAACTATTCTAATAACTTAATTCATTGCTCGAAGTAAAGTTTTCAATTTGAACTCACTTGTAATATTAACGTGAGGATCTGTTAAGCAGCATTCATGTGCAGAAATAATGTCATGTTCATTACTTGCATATCTAGCAGTATAGTAATTTATTCCAATAAAATCAAATGACCCTTTTAGTAACTTGGATTCTTCTTTCGTGAATTTTGGTAATCGTTCTCTGACATTTGACCGCATACTATGCGGATAGTCACCGTTTGTCAATGGGTCCATAAACCTAGAAAACATGTAAATTCATAAATAAAACATATAATTGAGTAGTTATATAAATTAATAATATATACTTGCCATCCAATAAAAAAATCCAAAGCTCGAAATGCAGCATTTATATCCGTTATTGCCTCCGAAGTAGGCTCAAACCAACGTGCCGTCAATGTTATTCCTATTGAGCCATTTTGAGATGCCTACGCAAGAAAATTCAAGATTTTTTTGTTAATTTAGAGTGAGGAAAATTTTAATAATATACAAATTATTATGTCTTATTTTGTAATTAATTGACCTGATATTTATCTTTATACAATTTTACAGCGGCTGCATGAGCAAGGAGTTGGTGATGTGTCACCAAATATGGTTCAGTGGCCGAATCTCCACCAGTGCAGTTTAGCTTTTGCCAAGCAGAGCATCGTCCCGGTGCGTGGGATCCGTATGCATAACCATGAATACTAAAGGTGTATGGCTCATTCAACGTGATCCAGTGTTTTACTCGATCGCCAAAGTTCTCAAAACAAAGTTTTGCATATGCTCTAAAATGATCGCTGTATATAGTATGCACAATTCAAGATGTAGATGTTACTGTAATATGTATTTCATTAAATGATCATTACCATGTACTGAGGGTAGAATTTGTTCACTTACACAATTTTAGGGCTTAAGAAACCACCATATTCGTCCTCCAAAGCTTGGGGAAGATCCCAATGGAAGATTGTTACAAATGGTGTTAGACCTATATATATATGATGAGTAAAAGCAAATTAAATCTTTGATTAAATGATAAGAGTTTTAACTATCAATCATTGATCATGTAAAGTGAGATGACTACTCACCGTTACGTATGAGTTCATTGATGAAATTGTTGTAATGGTTGATCCCATCCATATTCACGCCCCCACTTAGCGTTCCATCTAATAATTAAAATAAAATACAACAAATAGGAAAATAACTAGATCTCCAAACATATAAATTAAAGTAAACGAAAAAATTGAACTGTATATTCTTGGCCTTAATTAAATTGGACTCTAATTTAATTTGGTTCAGTTCTTTAGTTAATTATTTCAATTGAGAACAAAATGCTGGTTATTATACAGAAGACAACCGAGAGTTCTTATCACAACTCAAAACATAAACGGAGCAATCTCGACCATCTAATAATTAAAACAAAAACAAAAAAGAATTGTTTTGTACAATATTGAGAGTGAATCAACTTACTTGGTAACAATCTCGACCATGAGATAGACATCCTATAAGCATCCACCCCCATATTCTTCATTATCGCCACATCTCCCTATTGACACATAAATAATATATAATTATAAGAAATAAGCTAAAAACTAATTAGGATCTCATCTTTAATGTCATGTGTTTTGTTAAGAATCCAAAATTTAGTAGGTTTACATTGTGTCCTTAAACTTCAAGTACACAAGATCCAGATAATAAAATTTTATGGTTTTACAACCTTATAGCGGTGATATTGATCAACAGCAACATCTCCACTGCTACCATCCTTAATTCTTTCTGCAATTATACATAGAAAATTTTAATTGTTTAGAGCTAGCATAAAGATTCTAAAAATCATATAAAGTGTGTATAGACCAAGAATACATACTGCATGACCACTAGTAGTTAAAGACACAATTGATCATTTATTTGTGTCTAAATATTTAATGATAATTAATGATAACGAGAAAAACACAAAAAAGAAGAAGAATATATATTTAGTTATATACCCATTCTTAGCACTAATGATATATATAAACAAACCCAAAAATGACAGCTGACCCTATTGAATTAAATTTTGATTATTAAATTACTTTGATACCCTAGTGCGTGTTTTGGGTTTTTTATTTATGAGGTTTTGGGTTTGGAATTGTTTTAAGAAATTGATGGCAATTTTGTAATTTATAATAAGTTAAAAGCCTCTTTATTATGTTGTAAAAGGAATTCAAGTTTGTTTCTAAAGTCCATTTTATATATGATTTTTTATTTATAATTTGGGCCCCTATATTGGGTATAATAGTGAATCTCCCAAAAAAAAAGCTCTATTTTTAATAACTTGCACTATCTATGACCACAAACACACAAAAAAAACTTCCTCTAAGCCACGTCACTAATTATAGTATCATCCAAATAAAAATACCAACGAAATATTGGGCCCCTAAAGTTGTAGTCGCCTGACAAACGTTATTAGAACTAAGTCAACGACTCAAGCGGCTTCAATGGCACACAAAGGTAGAGTGTAGACAGACCTGGATGCTTGGTCCTCTATAGAGAGAGTACGTACGTGCTATGTTTTCTTTTTTGGGGTAAACGTAAACGCAAGTGGGCTTTAAAAGATCAAGCAAATCTTTTGTAGCCAATAAGTAAATGGATGGCTGAACTCCTATTTCGTGACCAAAGTTGCCCCATTTCATTAGTTTTTAGATAAAAACCGTTAAATCAGTTGACGTGACATGGGTATTTTGATAAATTTAACTATTCAAAATTCAAAATAAATATAAAAAAAATGCTTGAAATTATTTAAAATATAATTAAGATAAAAATAACTCCTTTTTTTCTCCCTCAATCGTCAGCCCCTACCACCTTTTCCCTAATCTCAACCAACCCCACTGCCCAACCAACCCAAGCAACCACCTTCACCCTCCCCATTCCTCTGTCAAAACAAAGATACCAAAAAAAAAAACCAGCAACCCTCTCTCTCTCTCTCTCTCTCTCATCTGGACTGCCACATATGCGAAATCTGAAGTCAATCTCTCTCTCTCTCATCTGGACTGCCACATATGCGAAATCTGAAGTCAATCTCTCTCTCTCTCATCTGGACTGCCACATATGCGAAATCTGAAGTCAATCTCTCTCTCTCTCATCTGGACTGCCACATATGCGAAATCTGAAGTCAATCTCTCTCTCTCTCATCTGGACTGCCACATATGCGAAATCTGAAGTCAATCTCTCTCTCTCTCATCTGGACTGCCACATATGCGAAATCTGAAGTCAATCTCTCTCTCTCTCATCTGGACTGCCACATATGCGAAATCTGAAGTCAATCTCTCTCTCTCTCATCTGGACTGCCACATATGCGAAATCTGAAGTCAATCTCTCTCTCTCTCATCTGGACTGCCACATATGCGAAATCTGAAGTCAATCTCTCTCTCTCTCATCTGGACTGCCACATATGCGAAATCTGAAGTCAATCTCTCTCTCTCTCATCTGGACTGCCACATATGCGAAATTTGAAGTCAATTTAGAGAGAGAGAGAGAGAGAGAGGGAGAAGGTGGGGTGGGTTTTTTCTGGGTGTGGGTTGGTTGGGCAGTGGGCCTAGTTGAGATGAGGGAGAAGGTGGTGGGAGTTGATGATTAGGGAAAAGAAAAAAAGAAGAAGACATTTTTATCTTTATTTTTTAACTATTTTAAATAATTTCAAGCATTTTTTTTTATTTGATTTGAGAGTTAAGTGATGTTAAGTAGCTTGACACATGTCACAAAGCTAGTAGAGAAACAGGGTGGGCAAAGGGCATTTGGTAACAGGAAAATTGGACTCATCCTGGTGCGTGGCACCCGATTGCATAACCATGGTGACTAACGGTATATGGCTAATTCAACGTGATCCAGTGTTTTACTCAATCACCAAATTCCTTAAAACAAAATTCTGCATAGTCTCTAAAATGATCGTTGTATATGGTATGTAGATGTTATTATAATATGTATTTAATTAAATAATCAATATTATATACTAAGGATAGAATTTGTTCACTCACACAATATTAGGGCTTAAGAAACCACCATATTCATTTTCTAAAGCTTGTGGAAGATCCCAATGAAAAATTGTCACAAATGGTTTTAGACCTATGTATATGTATGTATATATATATCATGAATAAAAGCCAATTAAAACTTTGATGTTTTTAAGGGGTTGAACTATCAATCATTAATCATGTAAGATGAGATGACTCACCGTTAAGTTGGAGTTCATTGATGGGATTTTTGTAATATTTGATTCCATCGTCATTCACACGCCCACTTAGCTTTCTACCTAATAATAAAAACAAATACAACAAATAAGGAAACTCAATCTACAAACGGTAAAATTGTTAAACTGTATATTCTTGGCCTTGAATTCGGTTAAGTTCTTTCAGTGATAAATTATTTTAATTGAGAACAAAATGTTGGTTATTATATAGTAGACAACAGAGGGTTATTATCAAAGTTGAAAAATAAGGGGAGCAACTGTTGCAGCAAAAAACAGAATTGTTATTTATAATATTGAGGATGAATCAACCTACTTGGTAATAATTTGGACCATGAGATAGAAAACCTAGAAGCATCCGATCCCGTATTCTTCATAATCGCTACATCTTCCTATATAATGACCCGTAAGACATACATGGTTATAAGAAATAAGCTACAAGTTAAAGATCTCATCTTCAATGTCATGTGTTTTCTTAAAGAAGGTCTAGAGATAAAATTATAACCTTATAGCGGTGAAATTGATCAACAGTCACATCTCTATTATTGCCATCCATGATCCTTTCTGTATTTGTACATTGAAAATTAATTATTTAAATCATAGAGATCCAAAAATTTATTTCATACAAACTATGATGTATATGCGATAAAGTTTTTTTCCAATTCACGACGACCTGAATGGTTGTGGGTGAAGGTATCCCATATACTTGGTCCTCTACCACCTTCTTTTACGGCACCTTCGTACTGAAATGGACATGCATAGAACATACAAAATTAAGATGTAAATATTCATGCATGCATGTGGAAGCTAATTGATCTGACATCAGGGCCGGCCTTGACTTTTGGGTGGCCTTAGGCTAGAAATGAAAATGAGGCCCATTTCTCTTTTATTCTCCTGAATATAATAAACTCACATGGAAAAAAATTATGCAATTAAATACAATTTGGATAAATAAACACGGCTCTAGTATTGGCCATATAATCGCTGCCCCAATCTGAAAATAAACAAGCATGAGGATAAAAATAATTTGTACTCTTTCATATTTCCTTGCTAAATAATCTTCTAACAAAATTTTTTGGATAAATAAAAGAATTTCTAATCCCTATTGGCTTTCTTTCATTGATTACTACTTTTAGCAATTAAATACTTAAAATACATGCAATTTATGTTCATATATTACATAATTTTCATTTGGACTCTTCAGAAACACTTGTAATCAGATTTGGGGCCTCTAAATGCCAAACTATTGAAATTATTCTCCTCTAAAATCATATTCTTCAACTTGGTAGATATATAATAAATATAATTTGGGGCCCTACAAATGCGAGGCCCATGGCCATCGCCCTCCTTGCCCACCCTCAGCGCCAGCACTGTCTGACATTAAACTAAAATTAATCCCAAGTAGTTATATATAAAACACCAATTAAAGGGTAATTATTAATTAAGGCCGAAGAAGGAACTGACCTGGTAAGATGCCGAGGTTGTGCCAAATATGAACCCTGGTTGGAGAGCATCGAAACTGCTCCTATTGAGAGAGTCACAATGAATGGGTAGATCATCTGTATTAGCAGCTTTGTTATTTGTAAATGCAAAGCCAACGAGTAGCACCAGAGATAAGACCAAAGAGCCTAAATGCATTGCCATAACTGACTATAAAAAAGAAGGAAAAGCCTGAAGGGTTTTTGGTGGCTCATATTGCTTGGGTTTATATAGAGGGAGTAACGTACATATTTATGGAATTATGGTTATGTCAATAAATATGAGTTAAATGTTGAGAAAGGTAGTGAGGGCAAACTTTGAGTTAAAGCGATGAAACAAAAAAAAAGATATCCCAGGTAATGACAAAAATAGAAGAAGATATCATCATGACTTTTTCATTTTCAAGATAATGACGGGTAACCGATAGTCTAGTCAGAGACTGAAAGTTTAACGTTGTAGGTGAAAGCTCCTCCCTATGAGCTTAGAAGGAGAGTGAAGCAACAATCCTGCTGTACATCGCCGTCATGTCTTCTTGAACGTTCATGAATTAGAACTCAAAACGTGTACGTAAATGGAGATTTGAAAAACTGGAACACTAATTGGGACAATCATTAAATGAACCAAAGAAATAATATCGCAAAAGAGACCAAATCAAACCGTCCATTAATTTGAACCAAATCGAACACGCTCCAACATCACAGCTTTTTTGGGGAATATAATCTCTGTCACTTCGACAGACAAGAGGTTAAAATTGAGAATTGCATGGATTTCAACAGCGAAAGCACAAGTAGACAATTGACCAAAACAAAACCACAAATTCAGGTATTGGGTTTCAGAGTCTGAAGGTTGGTTTTCTTCGTGGAATTTTCTGTGTAGGCTTTGGATATGTTAGGTTCATTTATTGGCACCTTAAAGAACGAATAAGAGTGTGAATTCTTTCTTTAAAGTCAAGTCTTTTTCATTCATTTCAGATTCATTCCTGATAGATTCAACGGATTTGAAATTAATCCTAAAAACAATTCAGCGCATGAAGGTGTTGAGCAACTTGATTGGGACATTTCATTAAGTTTGCCCGCCAAGCTTCCTGATAACTGTACGGATTCTTTATAGATTCAAGGGATTTTTAGGGGTATAAAGACCTAGCTCAAAACAGCATCTTTTTGACCAGTTCATTAAAAACAAAGGTTAATTTCAATTTAAGTTTAAGAAATTTTAATGTTTTATTTATATTTTAAGCAATTTAAGTTTAAGAAGTTAGGATCCCACATATGCCACCTCAACAATTAACGGAAATTTTAACGGTAAGGATAACGCTGGACTAAATTGTAAAAAATTGAAAAACTTAGGGTATGTAATTGTTCAAAATTGAGAGTGTAGGGACAAATATACCTCAATGATAAAAGTTCAAAGTACTAAATTGAAATTAACCCTAAAAATAATTCAGCGCATGAAGCTGTTGAGCAACTTGATTGGGACATTTCAGTAAGTTCGTCCACCAAGCTTCCATGGGGTCACCTGATGGGGTTACCCGCCTCGACACTTCTCCACCCTCCAAAGATGATGTAGACAAATCACAATCTGATAATGACGACAGCCACAATCCAAAGGGGAATGGACCCAATCGTGAATAGGAAAAAACTGTGTTTGGAACCATTGCTTGTACTCAATAATTTACACCCAAAAAAAAGGAAAATGCATAATAGACCAAGTTCTTGTCTGTAATTTTTGTTTCCCAATCACTGTGACAAGATAAAGAAACCGATTGAAGCAAGCATTTGTAGTACCCCTTCCTTCGTTGTGGATCCCCCTCCCCCCTCCCGTTCTTATTTAGAATATCTCTTTGGCTACCAACTCAAAGAGTAAATCGGTGGTAAGATATGGAGGTTTTTATTCCTCTTAGAGCTTTTGAACTGACCTCATTTAGGGTTTTTTCTTATATATAGCTGGTGCGCTTGTTTGCGTCCAATCCGGAGGTGATGATCGCCGGATGGAAGGAGCTAGAAGCGAAAAAAAGTATACACTGGAGGTTTGGAACCCAGAGAAAAATCCGATATAACATCTGGATCTTGAAAAGCTCCGGATATTCAGTTGTTCAATCTGCATGTGCTTTGAAAAGCTTTATTCTTGTGTAGATATGATTTGACGAGAGGATGTGACTAGTTGCTACTCCTGCGGGCCCTACTTACGTAAAGCTTATCTCCTTTAGGAGGCAAGGGATTGCTGCTTCCACAGTTGCCTCCACTCGGTCAAATGCATATTGCCTTGAACGAAGATGAACAGAGACTCCTTGTGACGTCAAGTTCGGATCTTGGCCTTTCCAATCTGCCAACAAACTCCTTGCGGGGGTGGAAATCACTCGTTGTGTCGTGTCGGGATAATAAACGTGTCAAGAATGCTCAATTCGAACTCGACCCATTTAATAAATGTATCAGGTTGGATTCAGGTTGTCTTAAACAGGTTACCTGGTTAATAACATGTTTAATAATAAGTGATAGCAACTGTAAACAGGTTACCTGGTTAATAACATGTTTAATAATAAGTGGTAGCAACTGTAACCAGTGGAATTCGGTTTTAAACAACTCCATTAATTGTTTTTTTAGTAGGAGAAACCAAAGAGAGAGAGTGAGATTGATGATGTTGATATGAGAACTTAAGAGAAAAAAAAATATTAGACATGAGCTTTTTTTTTTT